AGTCTTATCCCCCACCCCCATCCTCGCTCCCATCCAGGGCGTTTCCTGTATTTCCCGTTTTCTCTACTTTGATTGTGTGCGTGCCTGTAGGTTGCTATCAGTGACCCACATGTAAAAGTAGAACTGTTTGAAATCGAAAAGCGGCCCCTACGGACAAATGTGTGCTGGAAACAGGAGGAGGAGAGGTGTGGGCGGGAGGGGGAGGGGAAGCCGGAATGTTAGAGTCCGGTCCTGGAAGTTGAGCCTGAGTAACTGAGTCTGAAGGGACATTTACCGTCTGCTTGTTACTTTTTCTTAGCCCATGGCCTGAGAGCTCCACCCACTCCAAGTTTGAGCGGTGATCGGATGTTAATTTCCTTGGCATTGCCTTCTCCTGATCTTTTCTACGGGTCCTCTTTACAAACGACCTTTCCTTTTGAAATTTAAGAGAGAGGGAACACATGCTGGGGGGAGGGATTAAATGTTTTAAAAGTAGGGGAAAGAAAGAAAACCCCAAATTCTCATTTCTTTTTGCTGTCATACTGTGATTGCCTTGTTACTAGTCTATGTCAGAAATCTGATTCTGATGAAACAATATATGAGGGGTTTGAAGTAATACCAGATAAAGCCCTATATTACAATAATATTTCCCCCAAGTGGTCACACAGAGAGCAGGTGTGTGGCTTGCAAACGGTGCAGCAAACATTTTATGCCAGGAAAGAAGACACGGTGTATTACTGTAGATGATGGGGTGGGGGTGGGGGGATCATTTGTCTTCAGAACCGTCCAATTAGGAAGAATAATTACACTGCAAATGAACATTCTTGAATATAATTTGAGCCATGATTCATGAACCAGGAACTTGTCTATAGGAAGGAACAAGGATATTTGTGGATGAGAGCAAAGTGATGCCTTCTAGGAAAATGTATACTGTTCATCCATGTGATGGGCTCAGAACTGATGGGTCTGCCTACAGAGATGTGTAGACTGATGAGTTAAAGAGAGTTTACTGAATATTGTGTTTGGGGGAGGCAGGGAAGGGAAAAAGTCCATATTAGAAGATAGAAAAACAATATGTAGAAAAGTACATATTTCTTTTTAATGAACAGTGTATATATATATATATACACACAGCCTTTCCACTTTTTTTTTTTATCCTCACCCGAGGACATTTTTCCACTTTTTGTACAGATAGAGTGGGAGGGAGAGGGGGGGGGGAGAGCGAGAGCGAGAGAGAGAGAGAGAGAGAGAGAGAGAGCGCGCGAGCGAGAGAGAAACATCCATGTGAAAGGGACACATCGAGTGGCTGCCACCTGCACGACCAACCAGGGCTGGGGACAAACTGCAACCGAGGTACTTGCCCTTAGCGGGAACCAAACCCCGGGCTCTCTGGACCATAGGCTGACGCTCTAACCATAGAGCCAAACCGGCCAGGGCAGACTTTTTTATTGCAAAGAATTTACAAAGTAGGAGACCAAAAATAGGAGACCCAAATTGAGGTGGATGAGTTCCCAGAGGCTCACTATCTCAACCTTGGACAAGTTATTTAATTTCTCTCAGCCTTGGTTTCTGTGTTTGTAAAATGGTAGCGATAAGAGTTTAAGTCAATCACCTCAAAGATTAACTGTGATTACTTTTGTATAGTACCTGGTGTCTCAGGCTAAGTACTCAGAAATGTTAATGGTGGTTGTCAAGTATTTCAAACACCCAGAAAAAAGCAATGCCATTCTAAGAGGTGGAATGCAAGGATACCTGATTTTAGAGTGAGCCAGGGCTGCTTACAGCAGACCCTGAATGGAGGTTATACGCATGCCCCCGGCAGTCCACATCCAGGGTCTTTTTAGAACTTGCAGGCTGCATCCTTTTGGCTCATTCTGGTCAGTTTTTTCTGGAACTCTGGTTCCAGGGAATGTGTAGTACAGGCTCTGTGTGGATCTGAGGACCCCAGCACAGGTGTGGTTTGCAATTCCAGGCTTCACTGCCCCCTTGCAATGGCAAATTCTCAAGTTCCACGTCCCACCAAAGTAAATATCCAAATTGTATTTGCTGGGGGCAGGGGGACTTTTGTGGTGGACATGGTGAGTGCTTCTCTTAGGAACCCTAAAAGCAATGTTTTTACTCAGTGCTCATAGAAAGATACAAATAGTAAGTAAATATCTAATCTCCAGAATTTATTCCAAAAAAGCAACTTTAAAGTATCTCTTGCGGTTAATGATACATTGCTCACTTTTTACTAAGGTTGTACCTAAGAGCAGAGTAAACAAAAGGCATTCTTAGCAAAACAGTATTTTTTGAGCTGAGGAACTATGTTGTATATTACCATTCTAATTTGGGAGGAATGCCTGTTTGTTTGCTCAATCGTCCATTCATTTATCCTGTCCTTCAGCAAATACCCATGGAACCTCTCCCATAGGCCAAGCTCTGTTCTGGCTTCTGGTAATACAGCAAGAACCAAGAGCAACCCTCTCCTCGCACAGACCACCCATTCTAGTTGGAGAAGCAAAGGCTGTGTGCAAAGGACCCCCGCAAACCATGAGTTCCCTTTTTAATTCAGAATAGCCTGCACCTGGAAAGCAGCGTGCTGGGTGTGCTTCTCTTCCACAAGCCTGAGCAGAGGGAAGTGACCTGGCTAGGGGCGGTGGCAGCGGGCAGCCAGTCCTCTGGGTCCTCCGTGGGGATAAGGGACAAAGGGGAACCCATTCTTCCTGTGCTTTATAAAGTATATATCCAGTTTGAGCAGTGGCTGACTAGAACCACCAGCCAACATGGCATGAAAACAAACAGCAGTTTTTCTTAGAGGTGAGATTTCTCAACCTTAGAAAGGCAAGGACGGAATCAAAGGTCAGATCTTATCATCAACTTATAAAACAGATTGTGTCCAGGGAGAAGTGTGGTCTGGGATTTGAAATACTTGATTCTCTCTTGCTGTAGAAGATGTGACTGAACAAGTAAAGGAAAGAAGGGAACCTTGGCTCCTGGTGTTTCTTCGGGGTTTTGTTTCTGTTTTTGACTACTTTTAAAATCACAGTAATACACGATGCAATGGTAATGCATATGTTTGGAGTCTAGAAGGCTTGAAAAGCTGACAGGCAGTCAGGGCACTGACAGTAGTTGCTTAAACTGTAGGCACGGTTGTACAGGAGGTACCTTAGCTTTTAGGTTCTTGAGTGCTGAGCCGGGGAGTCTGAACTTTATCTCAAAAGTGGTTTGGAAGATGGAGGATTTGCCGCAGGTGAATGATGTGATCATATTGTGCTTTAGAAAGAACTCAGTGGCCATGAGGTGGGCTAGGGGACAAGGTGGCCAGGGCGGGAGACAGAAGGTGAGCTGGGAGGCTTGTACCGGAATCCTGAGGGCACTTGGTGTGGGAATGAGGGAGTTGGGGCAGATCTGGAGAGACTCCCCACACTTCCATGGTCATTTCCCAGGAGTGGGCACTAAGGACGAGGGGGTCCATGGTGACTGGTGTGGGTCGTGGTGCCATTCACTGAGGTAAGCAGCTGCGGGGAACCTCAGTTTGGGGAGATGACAAGGAGTAGTGAGTTGAGTTGAATCCCAAACTGAACTGTGAGCCTTTCAGAGAGAGATGCCTATCGGAAAGTTGGATATCCAGGCAGGAAGAGAGGGTCTGGAGCGAGAGATGAAAGATGGAATTATCTTTACAGTGGCGGCAAATGGTTGCCTAGTCTGTCAAGATTTACTAAATAGTGCTCAGGGTGAGAGTAATCTGTGTCCTTGCAACTGAATTTTTCTCTTTCATCCTTTCAACAGGCCATACTGGGGATAATCAAGCCCCTGACCTTGGCCTTACATGACCAGACTCTTACTGGTGTTATTTTGTAGACTTGGTAAGATCTGATTATGTTCTTTTTTTTTTTCCCCATTTAAAAAAAAATATCTTTATTGTTGAAAATATCACAGATGTCTCCCCTGCCCCTCAGCACTGAGGTTTTCCTCCCCGCTCCCACCCCACTCCTGTCTTCCACACACTGTTGTCTGTGTCCATTGGTTATGCATATAGGAATATAAATTCTTTGGTTTATCTCTTCCCACCCCCACCACCTTCCCTCTGAGTTTTATGTTCTTTTGAACTGAGATAGTTACAAGGAATGTATGGTTCTGGACATATTTAAACAGCTAGGATGTAAACTGATAAAAGTGATGCTCCCCAGCCCCCGCCTCAGCACACACGCATTTTATGAGCAGAATGTTTGTGCTCTTCCAAAATTCATGTGTTGAATGAAGCCCTAATCCACAATGTGTTTGGTATTTGGAGGTGGGGCCTTTGGGAGGTAATTAGGTTTAGATGAGGTCATGAGGGTCAAGCTCCATGATGGGATTAGTGTCCTTACAAGTCGAGGAAGAGAGACCAGGGCACTCTCTGCCACTGTGAGAAGGGGGTGGGCCCTTTCTAAGCCAGGAAGAGGGCCCTCACCTGGGCCGAATCTGACGCACCGGGATCTTGCACATCCAGCCTCTAGAACAGTGAGACGTGCATGTCTGCAGTTTAAGCCACTCAGTCATGGTGGTGTGTTATAGCAGCCTGAGCTGACTATGCAGGTATATATTGTATTTAAGAACATGTAAGATGACCTTCACTTGCTGAGAATGTAAACCAGTTTTGTGTGTGCTTAACAAAATATTGAACGTAGCTACTACGGAGGTGTATTATCTGCATGTTTTCTTAGTTCAGCTAGGTCAGGAGAAATACCTAACTTTGACCTTGACTTGGCAGGTAAGAAAGGAGAACCTCCATGTATTTTGACTTTTTCTTCATGTGAGTTTGTTCTGATTTTGATTTAATACCACATTTAAAGTGACATTGTTGACACTTTAAAAAATAAGGCTACTTATTTTTAATAAGGTGTTTAATTGGGGTGAACATTTTTTTAAATCCTCACCCAAGAATATTTTTCCATTTATTTTCAGAGTGGAAGGCGGGGAGAGACAGACAGTCAGACAGACATCGATGTGAGAGAGACATACTGATCAGCCGCCTCCATAGACCCCAACCAGGCCCGGGGACTGAATCTACAACTGAGGTATGTGCCCCTGACTCTAATGGAACCTGCGACTCTTTGGTCTGCGGGCCCATGCTCCAACCGCTGAGTCAAACCCGCCAGAGCAGTTGGGGCGAACTTTTGAGATTCTATTTGTGACTGCATAACCAAACTAACTTCCCAAACTCTTCACGTGGTTTCTAAAATAACAGGTACTAAACTCTGCACCCTGTTATAAAATATTTGAATGAGTAGTATTGAGGGTCTCCAAGGTTCATAACAAACAACATTTAACACTGACTGAGGTGACATTAGCAATAAAAGCAGTTCTTTTCTTGTGTCTTCTTTATGCACAGAGAATAGTTCAACAAGGTGTAAGTAGGTTGCCCAGCTTTTGGCTGCATAAGGATAACACAAGAAGGATTTGCCACCCAGGCTGATACATGAAGCCAGGGTGTTAGAACAGTTAGCGTGAGGGCTTTGAAAGCACTCCCTGTTTGTGGAACTAAGAATATTCAGTTGTGGATTGAATCTCTGATCCTAAAAGTGCACAGGTGTGCAGGAACCCCTGGATTGCTGGTGGGCAGCTGCACACATATTTGTGGTTCCCAGGTCTTTATCTACAACTGCTCAATAACCCTTTCTCCCCAACATTAATTTTTCACCTTAGAGAAGGTGGTCAGGTTTCTTCTGGTCTCGATGTGAGAACACTGTTAGAAGGCAGCCATCTGCAAACCAGAAAGAGGGCTCTCACCAGGAACGAAATCTGTAGGCACCTTGAGAACATGGATGTAGTAGAAGGCCTAACTTTTGTTTTCATGTCCACAAGGGACAAAAGTTCTCCGCCTTTTTATTTGCAGTTTCCATATGGCCCTCAGGGGTTATTGATGTTCATTTGAATTTCATTCATTTGTGAGATAAATAAAAGAGTGTAAAGTAGACCCCAATAAATGCTTGTTGACTTGCAGGCATAGTATTTGATTTGTGTGCAACCAGACTGTTATTCCTCTTGCTGCTGTGGGTTTAGGGAAGCCCAGTGGGAATTATCAATCATTGTCAATCTGTGTAACCAGCAATAATGCCTCACCCTCACCCATGTCATTCTAATTGGGGTGCCATTAAAGGGAACACTGGTAGCCACAGACAGACTGGAAGAGTATAGACTAAAAATTTAACTGGTTATCTTGGATTAGTGGGGTTACAGGTGACTATTTTCTTCTTTTCCTGTTTTTCATATTCTCAGTAAGAAGCGTGTTACTTTTAAAATCAGAACAAAAACAGTTATTGGTGTTTTGCTTTTTTGTCTGTTTTTTTTTTGCACAAAATTCTACCAACAGTTTTGGCGACAACACTGTGTACATCTCCTAACATCTGTGGTACATGGCATTATGCAACAGTTCTTTGTCTTTAAAAAGAAATAGAAATTCCTATTAGTATAAATATAGTTACTAATACTGGAAGGCTGGGGGACTGGAACCAGAATGGGGTGCTGTGACCCAAAGCCAGAGTGGGGCAGCTTCCTCTGAACAATAGGGAAGAACCCACACTTTATTGTGGGTGTGCTTTGCATGTTTTCATAAACATTTGAGCAGTGTGATCTGCGATGTGTGTCATTTCTGTATCTAAATGTGTAAGCATTTGTTTGATTGATAAGTACAGGTTAAATCTGATGGATAAGAAGTACTGAATAAAATATGTACTATACTGACATGTTAGATTTTTTTCTTTTAAAAAAAATAGTTTGATATTCAGCAGAACTCAAACCAGCAGTGAGATCTTAAATATCCCTTTAGCAGCAACTTCTCTACATGTCCGGAAAATTAGAGGGGCTCTTTTTCCTCTACTGATTCTATTGTTCAGCGTTTTCTTTCTTTCCACATTGGGCTGTGTTGTCAAGGGCACCTGGAGTTCAAGCTTCCTTTCTCCTGGGGCAGGCTGCAGTGGGGCTGAATTTCATGTGTTGTTTTCTAGTTTTAGGCATTTGGCCAGTGGTTTAGGGGTGGCCGTAACTGCGTAGACACTAGCCTCATTTAATCTTCGGATGAGTGGTGCATGGCACACACTTATTCAGGACAAATTAACCTCTTAAAATTAAAAAAAAAAAAAAAGATTTTTTCTTTTGTCCATAGGAATCAAAATTTCTTTCATTCTTAATTTTTGCATTTTATTTGTTTTTCATTTTATTTTATTTTTAAATTCCAGTTGACATACAATATTATATTAGTTTCAGGTGTACAACATAGTGATGAGAGAGATATCTTACAAAAGGATCAATATTCTGAAATTAAAAATAATAGATTGGATAATCTGGGAATTACAAATTTATCAGTAAGCAGTATTCTTTTTTTTAAAATAAATGGCTACCATTTGTATATGAACTGTGCACTTTAGAAAAACATGGCTCGTTTAAAAACAATCTGAAATCACATCCATTTTTTAAATGGCTAACTGTTTATTCCTAGAAGATGATTCTACATAGAGAAGTATGTCCGAACAGATACTCACTCTGTCATTTGCTCATTCTCAGAGTAGCCCTTTCAGGATTCTTCTGTAGTTGAAGCTTATAATTTTCCGACCTAACTACTGATTCTGCATGGATTCATGCTGTAATATGTGTGCCGGCGTAAACAGGTGACTTTCAGTCATTTTTGACCTGAATCCTTTTGGTAAATGGGTGTGCTTAAGTTGTCCTGTTTATGTGTTTTTTTTTTCATGTTGTGCTTAGGTGTTTAGTTCTTTTCATGATAAGGCAGCATCAGAGGGAGCTGAGCTGATGTGTGGAATGTTTAAACTATAACCCAAAGAGCTGTAGCCACATAGAGGTCACCCAGAATGATAAGAACCCAAGTGGTGGAGGTGATGAAAGGTGGGGCAGGTTGTGTGTAGCTGTGTGGAGAGGTGCCGGCAAACGGTTTAGGATGGTCTGATCAGCTGCTGCCGAGAACCCCTGCTCCCCGGGGTCCAGAAACGAGACTCATGGACACTGAGTGTGTTAGCTTTCTTTTTTTTTGATCCCCACCTGAGGAAATTCTTCTATTTATCTTCAGATAAAGTGGGAGGGGGAGGGAGAGAGAGAGAAAGAAACAAACATCAATGTGACAAAGACACATCGACTGGTTGCCTCCTGCATGACCCCGACTAGGGCCGGGGACAAATGGCAACTGAGGTTCGTGCCCTTGACTGGAATTAAACCCGTGACTCATTGGTCAGAGGGCCGACGCTCTAACTGCTGAGCCAAACTGGCCAGTTGCTTTCTTAGCAACTACGTAGTCAATATAACTTGCATGTTTTTGAAAAAATTTAAACTTAAAAAAATTTTTTTGTTAATCCTCACCTAAGGATATTTTTTCATTGATTTGTCAGATAGAGTGGAAGGGAGGGAAGGAGAGAGAGAGAAACATACGTGAGAGAGACATATCCATTGGTTGCTTCCCACACAAGGGATGGAATCTGCAACCCAAGTATGAGCCCCTGACCAGGAATCGAACCTGAGACCCTTTTGGTGCATGGGCTGATGATGCTCCACTGCTGAGCCATATAGCCCAGGGCTAAATTTAAACATTTTAAACAAGAATTGCCATCAGGTTAGAGTTCCTCTAGCCTATTTTATATTTGTATTTGATTTTTAGAATCTTGACCATGAGACTTCCCATGTCTTCTTGTGAAATTTCGGCTCTCAGTCTGGCCTGTTGTTCAGCCTATCCGGATAATGCTGAATTCTGACCCAGGCGTCGGTCACGTCAGCCATCCCTCTGGTCTGCATGCTGTTCCTCGATACTTTGGGCTTATCGGTCACTCACGTTCTCTCACTCATTTACTGGTGCCTCTCTGTTCAGCCTCCCCTTGCCATTCTCCGAGTCCTCTTAGTAACCAAGGGTAGGGCAGCCTTTGTAGGCAGCCAGAGAGCAAAGAGTTGGAGTCTGTGCCAAGATACAGAGGAAGCTAATCGTACCCGTGACCTCGACCTCATTAACAATGTGCTGGACCCACGAGAGCCAGCATTCCATGGTATTGTTTGACTTTGGATTGTCTCTACTGATTTATGGTCATGGGTCCATGCTCCTGCTTTCTGAGGGAGGCAGATGGAAGAGCCAGATGAGAATGTAAGAGACCATCATTGCTTACTGCCTCCTTTTCACTGCTAAGGTGAAAGGCTTTGGATTGTCTGCTGGTCATTGGGCTCTGCTGCTGCTGATTTGGCCTCAACACAAACCAAGACTGACAAGATGTGAGTACAGAGAGTGTGAGGGAAGAGGCCTTTTGGAGTCCGGAGCCTAAGTGGGTGGGCTGATGCCTTGGATGTCCCACAGGTGGGGGTAGACCCACGCTTTAAAGAAGGGCTTACCAAACTTGGATGTGCAAAAGAGTTAGCCAGACTCTTTTTATTTCATTATTTTTCTTAATTGATGAGAGAGAGAGAGAGAGAGAGAGAGAGAGAGAGAGAGACATCAATGAGAGAGAGCATCGATTGGCCGCCTCTTGCATGCCCCCACTGGGGATTTGGCCCACAACCTGGGCCTGCGCCCTGACCGTGAATTGAACCGGTGACCTCTTGGTGCATGGGTTGATGCTCAACCACTGAGCCACACTGTCTTGGCACCCGAATCTTTTAAGGTGTAGACTGATTCAGCAGGCCTGGGACTCTGAATTTCTAACAAGCTCCCCCTGAGGTTGTTGCTGCTGGTCCTGTGGACCACATGAGTAGCAAGGCCTCACATAAAGCCCAGATGTGAATAAGACTATGGAATAGTCACCTGGAGGCTGAAAGCCGAAAAGGCTAATATCAGGAAGGCACCCGCGGGTCTGACGTAGCATTGGTTGCCAGCTACTTAGGGCTGGTCTCCATTGAGAGGAAGCTGAAGGCGCTCAGCTCCCTCCCTTCCTTTTGGGCCTTACCAGCTGCCAGGAGTAGCTGTGCAGGGAGGGAGGTGGTAGCGGGTCTTCCAGGTAAGATATGGTTAAAGGGAGAGGTTTTGTTTTGCTAAGTTTTAGTTACATTGATTTCCTCATTACATGTTGATTATGTTCCATAATTCTAACTGGATAAAAAAGACTCGAACTTCCTCCAATTAAGCCTGCCTTTTCTCATGCACCCCAGCGCTTTGAAGTTATGTGATTACAACGTTTTTAAAAGTTACCGATTGTTTCATTTAGAGCTTTATTTCTAAAGCTTGCTTGACACTCTGTGGGGGTGCTGGCTAGACATATACATCCTCAGACCCACCCCTGCAGTTGTTACTTTAAAGGCCTGGAGTGGGTACTGGGAGTCTGTATTTTTTAAACAAAGTATCTAGATGGTTCTTATCAGGCAGGTTTTAGAAACACCAGGTTAGAGGAACATCTATTTAGAAACCCATGTATCTGAGCCTGTGGTCCTGGTGGTGTCTGAGGGGCGCCCCTCCCTGTTCTTTTCCGGGCCTCTTGGATACTTGGTGGTGAAGGCTGGCTTCCGTCCCATTGGCTCCACTTCCATTTTTATCTTGACACATGCTTTTATTCTCACAGAGAGGCTCTTGCTCGGATGGGACCAACTCAGAGAGTCCTTTGTCAGCAGTGTAAAAAGTCAGTTCTGAGGCCGTTATTTTTAGGAAGGTTTTACAGACACTGATTATTAAGTGCTTTCGGGCATTCTTGAAAAAACAGTTGTAAGCTTTGGGTCTCTGCAGAGGTCTTAGGAATGTCTTGAGGTCACTTTTCCCACTTTCTCCTCTAGCCTGGGATAACGCAGGTCCCTTTCCTAAATAAATGCTGACCAGAAATGGATGAAGGGTCCCTCACCTTCCACAGACAGTTTGGTTCTGATCCAGGTGAATTGATGGATCAGGGAGTTGAACTTTCCACATCATTGTATCTGTGTTAATTTTCATTTCTACAAATGCAGGATCCATCTCAGCCCCACCATTGGGGCAGAGTCAGCTTATGGAACAGATGCGTGGGGAATGATCAGTGTGATGGATTTGGAGGGCCGTAGAAAGGGTTCCTTACCCAGACGGTGGAATTCACTGACTCTTGTGCCTACAATTCTAGCATTAGAGGAATTTGGGTGAAACGTTTCTCTTTAAACCTCTTACTCAACATGTAAGCATCCATAGGACAGGTAACATATTAGTTATTTATACCTTAACAGGAACAATGTTATGGAATGCTTCTCAAGGTCAGCTCGCTAAGGGTGTGACTGATGGGGTGAAGTATGGGTTCTGTGCAAGGAGGGCAGGCCTAGGTGCAGGGCACAGAGGGCCGCTGGAGGCACCGGGTGTCTGGGCAGCTCATGAAGGTCCCAGGGTACCTGGGAGAGCACTAGGCACAGCTGATTCTCATTCACGTGGTGTGTGTGTGTGTGTATGTGTGAACAGGGACTTCAGTGTCCTTGATGATGCCTCTGGCATACTTCTACCTAACATGGCCATTTCACATATGCTTGCCCAGTTGAACTGGGGAAAAAAAAAAATAGGTGATTTATGTATGAAAATTAAGGTTAAACACCATAATGGTACTTGGGATTGTTTTGATCCTTTTTTAGTCTATTTAGTTTTGAGAGAGAAGCTTGGGAAATGATCCTGTTCCTATACCTGCTTAATAACAGGTGAACTTGGCCCCAGCAGCAACCTCTCTTCCTCCAGCGAGAGGCTTTTCCCAGTCAGTGTTGAGGGCAATGGCACGACTCCCGAGACCCCATGGCACACAGAAAGTGTGCTTTTGTGCATGCTTTCCTTCTCATAGCCAATTTCCAGGAGTGCTCAGCTTCCTTCGACCTCTCTGGGATCAGCCGGTACCTCTGCAAAGGCTCCCTGTCACCTTGTATTTTCCTCGCTTCAGCTCCCACCAGCTGCATGAAGGTCCCGATGACCACCTACCTGTTCACTTCTGTGTCTTTGTCGCCTGTTGGCTCCCTGAGAGCAGGGAACTTGTCGCATCCATAGGACTGCAGGCCTGGCGTGGTTTCTTTCATACAGGAGGCCTTCTTAATCATTCTGCGAGGTAGCTTTACAGGGGAGGAAACGGAGGCACAGGTAGGTTGAGGACCTGGCTCAGCCACCCTGCCTTTGACTTGAGGCCAAGTGACCCTGGCCACATTGCTCTGAGACCAAGGGGCTTGAGACTGGTCTGCGGGTCTCTGCTGGGGCTGTTGAAGGACTGGCTGTTCCACATGAACAACAATGGCCCTTTCCTATTGTTTTTCAGGTAAACTGGGAAGCCGACTCGAGTTCAGAGCTGGCCTGTGGCTTGGCCTCTGATTAGGAGCTCCTTCTCCTGCAGGTAGGGGCTGGTTCCTGGGCCTCCTGAATGCTCAGGTTGGTGTGGGAAAACGAGCCACGACGATGCGCCCTGATACCACCCACAGTCCTCATTGGTTCCAAAGAAAATCCTTAAATGGAGGGCAGCATCTCCTCTCGGAAAAGTGTGACAGCGTCCCCTGCCCTGTGGAGAGTTACAGGGTGAAGGTGTTTGTCTGGCTGGCTTTCCCTGGGCATTGCTGGCCTTCTTACCCCTCACACGCCCCCTCTGCACTGGGCACCCTTCTCCCCTCCGTCTGAGGGGTACTTTAGAAGCTCTTTTTCTCACTGGAGACCCCGCCCAGTGCCACTTGTCATCTTCAGACTGCTTCTCTGCTCACACCGCAGGCTGCACTAGCCACAGAGAGCTTTCCTTGTCTGTTCAGGTCCTTTCCTCTGGTCTGTGAGTTCCTTTGGCTGCCATCTGCCACCTACACGGTAGCTGGCACGGAACAGACTTTCAACAAATGAATGAATGTTAGTCTAAGGGGGAACGTGCCTTAGGAAACGAAACCATGGCACAGAAAAACCATCATGTATTCCTCAACCCATGAAATAATGTGTAGAGTACCTTTTTGGATGAATTACATGGCTGTTTGCTCATATTACCCCGTTTAATTGAGAATTTATCATAACATAGTAAAGCCAATAAGAGTTTAGATTCTTACCCCTATTGAAAAGGATAAGTCAAGAGTTGTGTCGTTGTCTTCCTTCTGAGTAATGAGTGGTGCTGGGCCAGGGCAGTGCTGGGTCAGGGCGCAGTAACGTACTCAGTGATAACCTGCTGTCCTGGGAGAGATGACTGACTACCAGACCCTGGGAGCCCTGGGTGCGAATGTGGATCTAAAGGTGTAGGCAGTAAGGAAGCAAGCAACAGATTGTCCCAGTTAATAACCCAGAGGAAATAAAAATATTTCTGAGTGTCTTGAGCATTTTTTTAAAAACACAGTTTAGGTTTAAATAATTTTAACAAAAACCTTTTAAATCAGTGCGTTTCAGTTTCCCCCATGCTTCTTCGTACGTGGGTTTCTTTGACAGGCGCACTGATTGGCTTGGGACCATTTTGCTTCATCCTATGGGTTGAGAGTAGCAACCTCCCCAGGTGGTGTTTCACCTGAATGTTGGAGCCAGAATGGGGCTTGGGGCCTTTCAGACACTGGTGGGTGACTGAGTTTGTGGACGCTGGGGAAGGGAGGGCACTTAAATCTAACCAAAGACCACTTTCACATAGGAGAACATGGTCTTGAATGTTTGCTCCTGCTTCCTTATCCTCTTTTTACATTCACATTGCTCATTCTTCAGCCTTTCCAGTTGCTTTGTCTGGGAGTGTGCAGCACCAAAGCAACGAGAAAGCAGTTATCTTTTGGTTTCTGCACGTGCTTTCCACAACCCAGTGGAGGTGCCAGCCAGCAGGTCCCAGGTAAAGTGGTCACAGAGCCATGGTTTCCTCTGCCCGGTGCCAAGCCCCGGTCATGCAGCTGCTAGAAGAGGAATTTAGTGAAAGACTAAGCCACACCAGAAATGTGACACTCAGCTGACCCTTTCCACGTTCTTCGTTTCCTAGGGTTGGGTAGAGCGAGGACTTGAGCTTTCCCCAGGAATTTCCAGTCTCCATGAATCAGTTCATCTGTCATACTTGAAAAATAAACTAAGAAAATAAATGGCAGTTTAAAAGTCCAGATGTTAAAATATGAGTGTGTTTTAGCCTGTTAGTAGGATTTGGAATTGGAGGTATTACTGACCATCTCGCGTCGCACCGCCTGTGCAGACCCTGGATGCAAGACAGTGGTCACATCTGGCCCACACGCTGCCCAACACGAGGGGATGTTTACCAAGTAATAAGAATCAGCGCTCACTGAGCCTCTGGGAGAGATCCAGTTCTCAGAACGCCTCCTGTTTTAGAACACAGTTCTAATCAGTTTGGGGAAAATGAGGTAGGTCAAGTCATCAAGTTCTACTGAGCTGGACCCTCCACACAGGAGTTCTCACACACAGATGTGCACTCAGGCACACTTCGGACAACTCTCTGGTAGAGTCCTGACTACCTCTCGTCATCCTACTTAAAAAGGCTAAGAAGTGATATAGTTCCCGAATTTTTTTAGGGCTTCGGAAGGCTGTGTTTTAGACTTCTAACATGGTGTTCTTCTTTCACGGAGAGATGGCCACTTCTTTAAAGGTGGGCCTGCTAGTGCCGCAGCGGTAGGATTCGTATATCAGGGGTGTGTGTGTGTAACATAGCTGTTTTGGAGTGTTGGCTTCAATCCAAAAACATGGACCCCTTCTGTCCAAGGTAGACATTTGAGAGCTATCAGAGCAGAGGCAGCTAGTGGACACAGTCCCTGGTCTGCTGGTCTCAGACTCCAGTGTCATCAACATACTGGTCTCTAATTGGTGGTTTCCTTTTTTGCTGAAATGCCTGAGAACCCAGACTGGAGCTGCTGACAGATACACACACACACACACACACACTCACACACACACTCTCTCTCTCTCTCTCTCTCTCCACTCAGGTGTTTTTGGTGTTTTCAGTGAAATCTTTACCTTTTCTTCTTACAGAAGAAGAAAAATAGGCTTTCAAGTTTCATTGTGAAGCTGCATCCAGGTATTGACATCTCTGGGAAGAGTTCACCGTTTTCCATTTCCAGAGCACAATCAATGCATAATTTAGGAACCACTTTTTACTTTGATCAGGTTGCTTGTCAGTTATGATTTGCTGGCTGGTTTGTCTTATCCATTATGTTTTGTTGATTTGAAAGAAAACGTACAGGTTCTTGTTTCCAGGAAAAGTTGGTTTTAAATGGAATATCTTAGACTTTTGCTTTATGGAAGGTTTGGAGGTGTTGTATTGATCATTCTCATGTTCTCTTTCAGTTAAGAAATGACTGTGTTCTGTTTCTTCACATCTTTTTACAATTATGGACTTGATTTAGAAGGAAGACTTTGGAGGACTAGTTAATAAAAGTAACTTTTCCAAATAGGCTAAAGAGAGTGAAGAAACTTCCTCTTTCATTTTTTAAAAACATGATAAAGAGTAAATACGCTGTGTTTTAAATGATTCCTTTTCTCTCTAGAACATTCCTTATATGGGGCAGTTTGTGAGGCTTCCAGAACTCTGTTCTCTCAGGTTCCTTCTTCAAAGCTGAAGGAAGTCGGCTCCCTTTTGACCGACTTCATTGATGCTTATCTTTCCTCTCCTTCATTTCCTGACAGGCAATCCCGGTGTCACCTCCTTGCCTGCCTGGGGTTGCTGCAGGGAAGTCTTCCCACTCTTTCTGGTTACAGCCTGACAAAGAAAACAAACAGCCGAAGCCCCCATCACTGCCCAGCAGGCTGGGGGAAATCGTTCTCATTCTCCGGTTCCTGGGTTCAAAGTGCACGTAACGTTTTATGAGGGTGACCAGCCCTCCCCAGGTGCTGGTGTGAGTGGGCCTGGTTTTCGCCTGGTGGACGATTAATCAGGGACCTCCTCCCTTCGCCTTCGCCTTTCTGGCTGAGTTGACATTAATGCTCTGAGTGAGAAGGGTCTGCTGCTCCTTTGAGCGAGCACCAGGCAGGGGTGGGGAAACATTTGATCGTGTTCAAAGGGATGTCTCTGAAGCATGAAGATTGAACTGATTGTGACCCCGCCCGGGGGAAGGAGAAGCGCCCTCTGGGGAACCGGCCTGGAACCGGCCTGGAGGAAGAAGCCGACAGTTCCTAATCCCACTGGCCGGCAGGTCTTCAGGGTCTCATATCCGTTTAAAAGAGAGAGAATTGGGGTTGAAGGTAATAAAATCGGCCTTAAATTAGAGGAGCAGGGGGTCATTTCATCTAATTTTGTGGTTGTTATTGAGGAATAAAAGGCAGAGGAGATAATTTCATTAGCTCCTTTGAGATCTTTATCACAGTGAGATGGCTTTGGGGATGTCCCCAGCCTCAGAGGGGCTGGCCCTTTCCTTCCCAGTAAACCTACAGCAAGATTCCCATGGCACCAGGGGGGCTTGGGGAGCCACACTGATCACTTAGGGCACCTGGTCGGGGACATGGAGGTTCCCCTGCCCTCACGGAGAACTAGTAGCTTACCGTGGTTGCTGTGTGTCCTGCCACCCCAGTCTGCCAGTTACTTGGGAACATGGCATTCACAACGAAAATAAGAAATCCGCCAGACAGGAGAGCCCGTTTAGAGTTGGGATGCTGTCTTTTATGTCATCTGTTGTTGACGAGACTTATTTGGAGCGTAGTGCATCAGCTTCCTGTGAGCTGAGTGGCGGGCGGGCAGTTAGCACCGTGGTGGGAGCTGTGCCTTCCGTCAGGCGCTGCGCTGTTCAGTGCACGTTCGTCTGCTCGGAAAAGCCCTGATGGGTCTTTCCATCCATGTGTACCGAGAAGAAAGGACAACCCAGGGAGGTTCTGTGACTTGCCTTAGGTCTCCCGGCAGGGAAGGGGGGATCTGGGATTCTATCTCTGGACTTCTAATTTTCAAATGAAGCCCTCAGTGATCATAATTAGAAGAAATGGAGCAGAGAGGAGGAGAAAGTCAATGATAAACTGTCCTCCAAGAGAGAGGAGAGGAAACGTGTGGAGTAGATAGTTCTCTGTGCCAGCCAGCAGCCGGCACCATTCCCCAAAGCAGCTTAGTTTCTTTCTGAAGGGAGCCAAGAGATCTAGGTGGGCAGGCAAGGGAGGTGGGAATTGGGGGAGCCTGGAGAGGGGTGGATGGGAAGGGCTCCCTGAATGTTTGAAACAGTGACAGGCGAAGGGTTAAGTAACTTCTGGACTGCCTGTGATCAGAAAGGTCAGAGGCATCAGCTGTCTATACCTCTGCCTCTTTCGGGTTAATTTCTGGGCCCCACATTTTCCGTACCCGTCATCATTCACACTTACTACCTCATGTCTGATTGCTTTCTAGTCTCTAGCGTCTCCCTCTCGACTGTATACATTTCTGCCTAATATTTGTGAACTTAGCTCTGGGGTGTAGGGGGACACACACACACACTTTTTAAC